AAATTATTACCTGATTTTTGAATAAGTAAAATTTATACCTGATTTTTGAATTGTGATGTTTAAATACCTGAAATTATGTAATTTCCTCTAAATGAATATTATTCTATTCCGACAATGGCCGACATTTTTCCCCAAAAAAAAGGAAAAAAGGGAATGAGAAGTCTCTATTCTCGAATAGTTCTTGGTTCTTGAATCGGATAGTAGATATCAAGCTCTAGAATTGAATTTCTAAATGAATTATAATTTATTCGCCCTAATCAAATGATCCGATGTGATGCAAAGAAAGTGATGAAATTGACAGAAAAATCGATAATGTTGATTGTTATATTTTTATTGTTTTTAATATTTGTAAAACCTAGTACTTGTTGTTGTTTTCTAGTTTTTGGGTTTTTAATGCTCTTCTAGATATTGGATGATATTTGATGACATATTTTGTAGTGAATTAATAAAGTGTTCAAATTTGTATTTGCTGACAGTGCCGATCCTATGATTTTGGAGGCCTGAGGAGAACTTCATAAATTAACCGTCCCCCTCCCCCAAAAAATAACAAATTATATCATGCATGCAAAATCTGTAAGTGTATTGTTCAGGAGTATAAAATAATGGCTGAATTATTCTTTTATTATATTGAAACTTTACAGCGATGTTCTACGTGAAGATGAAGTATAAATATGATCTATTAATATTCTATGGCTAGCATAAAGGGAGATCCATGTATATAGAAAAAGGTTTCTAAAGTTGTTGTTAAAATCTCTCAATGCAGATTTTGGTATGATTTTGTTACAGCTCACGTCAACACTCCTCTTCATGCTGATGCATACGAATCTTGAATGTGTTGCTTGTCTAATGAGTTGTAGAAATCTTTGCTCGAGATTGCTTTTGTAAGGATGTCCGCCAACTCATCTTCTGACTTAATAAATGAGAATCTGGTGACTTTTTTCGAGTTCTAATTGATGAAATGTTGATTTACCTCTATATGTTTGGTACGATCATATTGGATGGGATTCTGAGAGATAACAATCATCGCTTTATTGTCGCGGAAGAGATCCATCTCAAATGTAGGTCCAAAACGAATATCGATTAATAGCTTCTTGAGCGAAAAGAGTTCACAAAATCCTTTGGCCATCCCTCGAAATTTAGCTTCGACACTTGACAATGCAGCCATCTTTTGTTTCTTACTTCTCCACGTAACTAGGTTCCCTTCAAAAAAGGTGTAGTAGCATGAGGTGGACTTTCAATCCTTTCTATTCCCTACCCAATCCGCATCCATATAGCCATCAACTCTTAGGTGGTTATTCTTCAAAAACATGAGACTCCTCCCTAGAGATGATTTCAAATATCAGAGTATTCGAATAACTGCGTCCATGTGATCTTCAATTGGACAATGCATGAACTAACTTACTACACTTACAATATAAGTAATATTTGGGCGATTGTGAGACAAATAGATAAGCTACCCACTAGTCTTTGGTATCTCCCTTTGTCGGTGTCTGGACGGATACTCTCTAAGCTTGTGATTATGAGCAATCGAAGTGTTTGCAGACTTGCACTCCAATAATCCTACTTCTATTAGTAAGTCTAGAATATATTTCCGTTGACACAAAAATATTCATTGTCATGATCTTGCAACTTCTATTCCCAAAAAATACTTCAGTCCTCCTAGATTCTTTATTTCAAATTCAATTGCCAATTGTTTCTGAAGTTGAGATATTTCTTCCAAGTCATTCCCTATGATGATCATATCATCCACATAGATTATTTTGTACTGATGGTCATCTCATACTAAGAATTAATTCAGGTGAATTGAAGTTAGTAAAGATATTAAACCTCCTAAGGATGACATGAAGGACAAGCTCTTCTTGCAAGGCATACAAGTCATGATTTATTTTATTCTTAGAAGTATATTGGGAGTCGTAAATCTGGGCCATCTTGATTGGCTAACGACCAAGTCTTATCTTTTTCAAGTAAAATTAAGATTAAGGGAATAGATTTTCACAATTTCCCCACAAACTAAGCATAGAAACTTGAATATGCTATTTCAGAGACTAAACTTATCCAATCTGACCATTTTTTCTGGACATTTGATCCATACATGATACATGTTTTTATCACTACATCATTAAGGAACATACATGATATACCAATTCATAAACAAACAACCATACACCCAAAATCAAACTATTGGAATCAATTAAATCACCAAATAAAAAACCCCATAAATCCTTTTGCATAGAAAATTAGAAACCAAAATGCTTGGCAGGGGCAACACAATCAAATTAACTTACTCAAGGCGATGCCAGGCAATCTACGAACGGTGCTTAGAGAGAGAAGTGAGAAGATCGCGTTTTGTAAGTTGTAACGTCGTTTGGGTTCTTCAATAATTTTGATTTTGATTTGTAGGAGCTGGACGATACCAATTCCAAGGCTATAAATCTATTTTTTCCATTTTTGAAAAAAAAAAAATCTGAGGCCCCTTTAATTGTTAGGCCTAAGGCATGGTCATCATATGCCTTTATACAACATCGGGCCTATTTGCTTACATAATTTAGTTTTATATTTTTATTATTTATTGAAAAGATAATTTGTATTGTTCAGCTCATTATGAC